ATGATTTGAATCAAAGGCCAGGTACTGGTCAGTGTGAGTGGACTTTCTGAAGACCTCAGTCTCTAATTGTCCGTTCTCCAGTGACTAGATCGCCTTTCTAGATTGTAAGTCGGCTGTTCATCTCCACCTCAAGGCCTCCAACCACACGGTGGATGACACAGAGGTTAAAATTCTGGCTCGGGAGAAGAATTGGTTTGAGAGAGGGGTGAAAGAAGCCATTTTTGTGAGGAAACAAAAACCTTCTCTTAACAGAGGAGGAGGGTTAAGATTTGTTTTGCCTCGCATCTATGACGACATCCTAAAAACAACGCCCTAACTTGGGACAAGGTCAGTGACATGCTAATGAGTTAGGAGGGGTGAGACCTGCACTCCACTTGAGCATCCCAGCAGACAATAGGTCTGTGACATGCTAAGGAGTTAGGGTCGTTAGCCTCAGCAGGGTCGTTAGATCTGCTCCCTTCTACATCAAGCAGACCTTAGATTGTTTATGAGTTAGTATCAGGATTAGGTTATAAATCTCCAACGCGCGGTCTGAGAATTCATTCCCTGAAGAAGTCCGCTAGTTTGAGGACGAAACGTCGGGAAAACTTGCTAAGAAGTGTCAGGATTCAGCAGACAGAGACGGATCGTGGTGCGCCAAACTCTGGAAGTTTATTTAAGTTTCTCTCAAGTTCCAATGGTTTACTTTGTTTCTTTCTCTCAGACAGAATAAAGGCAGTACACAGTTTATAAAGTCATTGTCACGTCACACATGGAAAGACGTACGTGTCACACAGAGAAAGTCACATCATAGTCAAAATAATTAGAGTCCTTGTACAGTCCTGCACGTAGGCCAAATTGCTATCTAATACTAACACCCTCTCCTTTGATCACATAATCACATGTGATCACTCAATTTGATCAATCAATAAAGTGGAAAAAATAAAAAATAAAAAAATCTAAAAAAAACTTTAAAAAATTATTAAAAAACAAAGAAAATGTATGCATTAAACTCATAATCATCAAAATCAATATCAGTGGATTTTATCCTCTATCCTGGGAAAAAAAAAACAACAAAAATAAAGTAAATAAATAAACAAAAAACAAAAACAAATCAAAAATAAAAACAAACAAACACTATTGGACACACAAGAACTCAGCAGATTCAGTCAAAACACAGACAAAAACGAGCTGAGTCTCAAATTAGAAGCTAATTTCACTTTTATTACTCTATACTTTTATTCTAATGCTAATTGTTTACACTTCACTTCACTGTATTGTTTTCACTTTTCAATATTAGACTGTGTACTTTACTCTCTATTCACTATAGTTTAAAACTATTCTAATCTATTTACTAATGGTGTTTAAAAACATTTAACTGTGTCATAACACAATGTTCAATCGCAAATTTCGCAAATTTAACGGAATAACATCTATGAAAAGCCAAAAATCCTAAAGCAGTAGCTTTGCTCTGATTCAGAGCTAGAGCAGCGAAGGAGGGGGCCGTTTCCCTGACAACGGCAGCAAGATAGGGCTGTGCACACAGGCAGAAAGCAGTGTTTTAGCAAAAATGCAAAAACAGAAAGAAGAATAACTTTCAAGATGACTTTGTTAAGCAAATGTAACTGATGTTGTTCTTTAAACTTTTGTCATCCAAGTCTAGAAATGATCAATTTCCACATTTGTAACAAAAGGCACTCTTAGTGTTTAACGTTTCCCTTTTTATTATAACTTTAAATTTTACACCATGGTTTCACTAACTATTTTCTATTCTCTATTCTCTGCCCCGGCTACTCCAAAGGCAGGGACCCCGATACATCAGGGGTTCTTTTTTCTCTCTGTCCTGACTACTTCAAAGGACAGGGACCCCGATACGTCAGGGGTTCCTTTTTCTCTCTGTCCTGACTACTTCAAAGGACAGGGACCCCGATACGTCAGGGGTTCCTTTTTCTCTCTGTCCTGACTACTTCAAAGGACAGGGACCCCGATACGTCAGGGGTTCCTTTTTCTCTCTGTCCTGACTACTTCAAAGGACAGGGACCCCAATACGTCAGGGGTTCCTTTTTCTCTCTGTCCTTACTACTTCAAAGGACAGGGACCCCGATACGTCAGGGGTTCCTTTTTCCTATCGGGACTGGTTACCCACACAGCTAACCTGTTTTCTACAACATAAGACATGACAAAGACGTGACAAAGAAAATTTGATTTAGAGAGATTTGGACAGACCTCCGGGACAGCTCAAAATTTAGCTAGTATCCAATTATGCAGACTTTACATATTAAAAAAGGTGTCTGCTTACCTTATTTTATTTGTCCGGACTGTTCGAGAGGTCAACCAACATCTTTTCCGCGTCGAAAAATTCAATTTAAAAAACAAAAGTGACAGAAGCGACAAGAAGTATCCAGGAACAGCACTTCCAGTCTGCTGGAATCCCCGTTCCCAGACACAGCATGCCGATCTCTCACGCCGAGGAAAAGAAACAAAGCAAACTCCCTCAGAACAATCCAGAGAATGGCACGCACTGAGCCGCGCATTCTCCACCAAATCTGTTAGGATTCAGCAGACAGAGACGGATCGTGGTGCGCCAAACTCTGGAAGTTTATTTAAGTTTCTCTCAAGTTCCACTGGTTTACTTTGTTTCTTTCTCTCAGACAGAATAAAGGCAGTACACAGTTTATATAGTCATTGTCACGTCACACATGGAAAGACGTACGTGTCACACAGAGAAAGTCACATCATAGTCAAAATAATTAGAGTCCTTGTACAGTCCTGCACGTAGGCCAAATTGCTATCTAATATTAACACCCTCTCCTTTGATCACATAATCACATGTGATCACTCAATTTGATCAATCAATAAAGTGGAAAAAATAAAAAATAAAAAAATCTAAAAAAAACTTAAAAAAATTATTAAAAAACAAAGAAAATGTATGCATTAAACTCATAATCATCAAAATCAATATCAGTGGATTTTATCCTCTATCCTGGGAAAAAAAAACAACAAAAATAAAGTAAATAAATAAACAAAAAACAAAAACAAATCAAAAATAAAAACAAACAAACACTATTGGACACACAAGAACTCAGCAGATTCAGTCAAAACACAGACAAAAACGAGCTGAGTCTCAAATTAGAAGCTAATTTCACTTTTATTACTCTATACTTTTATTCTAATGCTAATTGTTTACACTTCACTTCACTGTATTGTTTTCACTTTTCAATCTTAGACTGTGTACTTTACTCTCTATTCACTATAGTTTAAAACTATTCTAATCTATTTACTAATGGTGTTTAAAAACATTTAACTGTGTCATAACACAATGTTCAATCGCAAATTTCGCAAATTTAACGGAATAACATCTATGAAAAGCCAAAAATCCTAAAGCAGTAGCTTTGCTCTGATTCAGAGCTAGAGCAGCGAAGGAGGGGGCCGTTTCCCTGACAACGGCAGCAAGATAGGGCTGTGCACACAGGCAGAAAGCAGTGTTTTAGCAAAAATGCAAAAACAGAAAGAAGAATAACTTTCAAGATGACTTTGTTAAGCAAATGTAACTGATGTTGTTCTTTAAACTTTTGTCATCCAAGTCTAGAAATGATCAATTTCCACATTTGTAACAAAAGGCACTCTTAGTGTTTAACGTTTCCCTTTTTATTATAACTTTAAATTTTACACCATGGTTTCACTAACTATTTTCTATTCTCTATTCTCTGCCCCGGCTACTCCAAAGGCAGGGACCCCGATACATCAGGGGTTCCTTTTTCTCTCTGTCCTGACTACTTCAAAGGACAGGGACCCCGATACGTCAGGGGTTCCTTTTTCTCTCTGTCCTGACTACTTCAAAGGACAGGGACCCCGATACGTCAGGGGTTCCTTTTTCTCTCTGTCCTGACTACTTCAAAGGACAGGGACCCCGATACGTCAGGGGTTCCTTTTTCTCTCTGTCCTGACTACTTCAAAGGACAGGGACCCCAATACGTCAGGGGTTCCTTTTTCTCTCTGTCCTTACTACTTCAAAGGACAGGGACCCCGATACGTCAGGGGTTCCTTTTTCCTATCGGGACTGGTTACCCACACAGCTAACCTGTTTTCTACAACATAAGACATGACAAAGACGTGACAAAGCAAATTTGATTTAGAGAGATTTGGACAGACCTCCGGGACAGCTCAAAATTTAGCTAGTATCCAATTATGCAGACTTTACATATTAAAAAAGGTGTCTGCTTACCTTATTTTCTTTGTCCGGACTGTTCGAGAGGTCAACCAACATCTTTTCCGCGTCGAAAAATTCAATTTAAAAAACAAAAGTGACAGAAGCGACAAGAAGTATCCAGGAACAGCTCTTCCAGTCTGCTGGAATCCCCGTTCCCAGACACAGCATGCCGATCTCTCACGCCGAGGAAAAGAAACAAAGCAAACTCCCTCAGAACAATCCAGAGAATGGCACGCACTGAGCCGCGCATTCTCCACCAAATCTGTTAGGATTCAGCAGACAGAGACGGATCGTGGTGCGCCAAACTCTGGAAGTTTATTTAAGTTTCTCTCAAGTTCCACTGGTTTACTTTGTTTCTTTCTCTCAGACAGAATAAAGGCAGTACACAGTTTATATAGTCATTGTCACGTCACACATGGAAAGACGTACGTGTCACACAGAGAAAGTCACATCATAGTCAAAATAATTAGAGTCCTTGTACAGTCCTGCACGTAGGCCAAATTGCTATCTAATACTAACAGAAGTACAGATGATGGGTGAGAAACCTTCCTTTGCTTTGACTAATCCCTGTACGACTGAGGGCTTACACAAACTCACCATTACTATGCGATTAATCAACTAAAAACAATTAATCGTTTGGCAGCCCTAGTAGGAATACATAGGGATGTTTTTCTACATAGTGTGTTGTGGTTTGAGAATTATGTACCCCAGCTTTAAGTCTGCTGAAAAACACATGTCTGCATGTTGAGCTGTAGCCCTGCCCCTACATGCTACAGCCCCGCCCCCTACCTGCTGTAGCCCCACCTCCTACCTGCTGAAGCCCTGCCTGATGTCCTGGCTCTGCTGCTGCAGGTGACTCCTCCTCTGTCTCCACTCCTGGTCTTTCCGGTCCTTCTCAGTCTTCTCGTCGACCCGAGTCAGCAGCTTGCGCCTGCAGCAGCGCTCCATGTGACTTGGGTCCATGCCCCAATAGTTTAGCTCATCATGTAAGCTCACAGCACACAGATCACGCAGCAGACGCAGCTTCCCCGCTGCCAGGAAGTTCAGGATCATCCTGAGAAGAACACACACACCAGAGACCAGAAAGTGACCAGAGAGAGAGAGACCAGAGAGATCAATCAGTCTCTCTAATACCCATCTGTACAGTCTTTGACGCTGTGTTTGGAGCTGACTTTGGAGCGGTCTTTGGAATGGTCTTCACCTGAACGCCATCGGGTTGCGGTCAAAGAAGAACTCCTTCCGTATCTCGTCATAGTCGTCGCAAAGTCGGGAGATCTCCTCGGGCGTCGAGCAGAAGCGCAGTCTGCCCAATCGGGTCTGGGGAAACTTCTCCAGCGTGGACCAGGGGAAGGCGTAGCTGTTCCCCCCGACATTGATGATGGCCAGGTCAGGCTCCGCTTGCGTCCTGGGCTCCCGGAGCCGCTGTGCTCGGCTGTAGTAGACCCCCTTGAGGGTCTCGGTCTCTGGGATCTCGGTGAAGAAGCGGTCAAAGCTACTGTCGTCGCTGCTGACCGAGTACACGCTGAAGTCATGGTTGGCATTGCTGATGATCGGCATGGTGCCTCAGGAAGAGATCAGGACAATCTGGAACATCAGGTTACACATGGCACAGAGGAAGAAGGAGGTTTATTTCAGATGTGCACCCCCTAGGTAAATATATGTAATTGTTTTAGCATAGACTGTCCAGTGTCCACATGACATTCTGGTCCTTCTCGGGTCTCTCTCTCGCTGGTCTCTCACTAATATCGGGTCGAATTGCTCTCAGTTCTTGTTGAATTTGTTGAATTGCTCTCAGTATAAAAAAATATCACAATCTGAAGTCTAGAGGTTTCTGCAGCAAAGAGCAGCGACCCCAGGGCCGGCCCAGGGCATGGGCGACCCAGGTGGTCGCCTGGGGCGCCATCTGCAGGATGGGGCGCAAAATTGCAGTCTTCATTTAAATCTTTGTATTGGTTTTTCTGCCTTTTGCATAAACAGGACAGTAAATAAAGTCAAGTCAGTATGTTTCTAACATAAGCCTCCAAGATCCTCACCTCTAATCCATTATCTAGACCAATTATTTCTAAAAAAAGTAAAAACAAAACAGCCCCTCCTGCCCCTCCCCTAACCCTCCTCACTCCTGCCGGGAGAGAAAAAATAAATAAAATAAATAGATAATAATAGTAATAACAATAATAATAAATCTGATAGTTATAGTAGTAGAACGAATAATGACAAAGAAATAACAATGGTACTTTGACTAGGTTATTTTCTTTTTTCCAAAGTAATTTGCGTTACCATGAAATTAGATTACAATAGAAATATATATATATATATATATATATATATATATATATTCATTACGTAACCATATACATACATACATACACACACATATATACATATATGCATATATGCAGTAAGGGATGCCGTCAGGCTGAAGAAGAAGTCCTATCGAGCAATGATGATTCGTGGACTTCTGAGGCAGCTGTCCAGTACCGGCAGGCCAAGCGTGCTGCGGCCCGGGCTGTTGCAGAGGCAAAAACCCTGGTCTGGGAGGAGTTCGGAGAGTCCATGGAGCATGAGTATCGGTCGGCCTCGAAAAGGTTCTGGCACACCGTCCGGCGCCTCAGGAGGGGGAAGCAGTTCTTTGCCAACACCGTGTATGGTGCGGGTGGAGAGCTGCTGACCTCGACTGGGGATATTGTCGGGCGGTGGAAGGAATACTTCGAGGTTCTCCTCAATCCCCCCGTCACGTCCTCTGTCCAGGAGGCAGAGGCTGAGGATGTTGGGGCGGATACTTCCATCTCCCTGGCTGAGGTCACCAAGGTGGTTAGCAGCCTCCATGGTGGCAAGGCGCCGGGAGTGGATGAGATCCGTCCTGACTATCTAAAGTCTCTGGATGTTGTAGGACTGTCTTGGCTGACACGTCTCTGCAACATCGCGTGGAGTGGCAGACCGGGGTGGTGGTCCCTCTCTACAAGAAGGGGGATCGGAGGGTGTGTTCCAATTATCATGGGATCACACTCCTCAGCCTCCCCGGTAAGGTCTACTCCAAGGTACTGGAGAGGAGGCTACGGCCGATGTTCGAATCTCGGATTCAGGAGGAGCAGTGTGGTTTTCGTCCCGGTCGCGGAACACTGGACCAGCTCTATACTCTCCATCGGATACTCGAGGGTTCATGGGAGTTCGCCCAACCTGTCCACATGTGCTTTGTGGATTTGGAGAAGGCGTTCGACCGTGTTCCCCGGGGTGTCCTTTGGGGGGTTCTCCGGGAGTACCGGGTCCGGGGTCCTCTGCTGAGGGCTGTCCGGTCCCTGTATGACCAGAGCCAGAGCTGCGTTCGCATTGCCGGCAGTAAGTCAGACCTGTTCCCGGTGCATGTTGGCCTCCGCCAAGGCTGCCCTTTGTCACCGGTTCTGTTCACTGTGTTTATGGACAGAATTTCTAGCCCCACACACGGGAGAAGCTCGGAGTAGAGCCGCTGCTTCTCCACGTCGAAAGGAACCAGTTGAGGTGGCTCGGGCATCTGTTCAGGATGCCTCCTGGACGCCTCCCTGGGGAGGTGTTCCGGGCACGTCCCACCGGGAGGAGGCCCCAGGAAGACCCAGGACACGCTGGAGAGACTATGTATCTCAGCTGGCCTGGGAGCGCCTTGGGGTCCCCCCGGACGAGCTGGAGGAGGTGTGTGTGGATAGGGAAGTCTGGGCGTCTCTGCTTAGACTGCTGCCCCCGCGACCCGGCAACGGATAAAGCGGAAGAAAATGGATGGATGGATGGATGGATGCATATACATATATACATACATACACACATACATACATACATGCAAACACTTACATACCCATACATATACATGTACAGTATATAAGGAGAAATGGTAAATAGAATAAATAAAAACAAATATATATAT